AAAAAAAAAAAAAAAAAAAAAAAAAAAAAAAAAAAAAAAAAAAAAAAAAAAAAAAAAAGAAAAGAAAGAAAAGAAGGCAGTTTCCCTCCACAACCTGAAGTTACAGAGAGATGCAGTCATAATATGTACAATGAACAGACAAGAAGAGAGAGAGAAACAGAGAAAGAGAGAGAGAAACAGAGGTGGGCATGCAGCTCTCTAATCAGAACCATTAGTTTATCCATTGCTGAAGATTCTGCAACCCAATATACAATATCAGACTTACTTGATACTCAGACGGCTCTAGTAATAACCTCAACAGGGGAGCCTCCCAGTCTTTAGTGCTCTGTCTTGCTTGCGCGCTTTGAGGTTCTTCTTTGCTGTTTCTCAACTGATAATCTATTTCAAGTATGAGCGCTAGAAGTATGTTTCCCTTCACCTCAGCTCAGTGGCAGGAGCTTGAAAATCAAGCTCTCGTCTTCAAATACATGGTTTCTGGTGTTCCTATACCTCCTGATCTCCTTTTCAGTATTAAAAGAAGTACCTTGGAGTCTCCTTTCACTTCTAAGCTATTCCCACACCATTCTCAACATGGTATATCAACATCTCTCTCTCTCTCTCTCTCTCTCTCTCTCTCTCTCTTTCTCTCTTACTTTCTCTTTCTCTCTCTGAAATGTTTGTGTTTCATGCAGTTGGATGGAACTGTTTGCAGATGAGTTTGGGGAGGAAGATAGACCCAGAACCAGGGAGGTGCAGGAGAACTGATGGGAAAAAGTGGAGATGCTCAAAAGAGGCGTACCCAGATTCGAAATACTGTGAGAGGCACATGCATAGAGGCAAGAATCGTTCAAGAAAGCCTGTGGATGTTCTGAAAACAACAGCAACAAACGAGTTAAACCACCTCTCAAATCAAGCATTTTCTTCCTTAAATAAGAACTCATCCCTACACTCCTATCGGCCCTTCCCCGCTCCTCAAATGTCTTCAAATCCTAATGGGAATGGCATATCAACCAAAGACACCAATACCCTCTTGCTTCTGGATTCTGGTTCTTACTCGGACAGAAGCCCAGATTACAGGTTTGAAGAACAAAATTCCTCTCTTTGGAGGTGGAGTTCTAATATTTCAAAGTCAGATTCTGACATTTGTCCATCTTCTGTAGGTACACTTATGGGCTAAAAGAGGAAGTGGATGAACATGTTTTCTTCTCGCAAGAACCATCTGAAGCTACTGCGAGAGCTGATTTCTCTGCTTCTTCCACCGTTGATTCTCTGCAACTGACACCACTAACGATGAGTTGTTCTTCTCTATACCCAAAACAAAACAACTTCTCCTCTCTGCAGAGTGGTCAATCATGTTATCAGCTTCACCAGAGCCTCACAGACCCTTTGAAGCAACAAAAGAGAGAGGAATCACAGAAGAAAGTTCATCGATTCTTCGATGAATGGCCTCAAAAAGGAGGAGGATCATGGCTTGATTTTAACGATAAATCGTCAAATATTGGCTCAGTTTCCACCACTCGGCTCTCAATTTCCATTCCCACCGCTTCCAACGAACTCCCCATTTTCAGATCCAAAAACCCATAATGATACCTATCCCCAAACTCCCAATTTTTTTGTTCTTTAATCTTGTTCTTTCTCTGAAGTCAGTTTGTTCCTGTGCTTGATCTCCAGGGTGACCCTAGCTGTTCCTTATTGAATTTTGTTTTGTTCCTAAGGATGTACTTCCTGCTGAGTTTCACCCCTTCTTTTTTCTTAGGTAGGGTGTGGTTGAATTGGGCCATGGGTTGTTTATTAAACGAATGTTCCATCTTATTTTTCTGTACTTGTCGACTTTTCTACATCACTCATACATGGGAGGTTTTTGATCACCTGAACAGTGCTACTAGGCATGGGAATCAAATCTAGTCCCATTTCTTTGGACTGAATGGATCAATAAGCACATTCAAAGAATGCTAATCCAACTTTTTGTTTACCCAAAAAAAATTCTAGGGAACAAAATGGGAATACTCTGCCTAAACTGATTAAATCGATTGAAGGAAAGATGATAGATCAGCTTCCCCCAAATCCATTTTGTTACACTACTCCCAGCAACTACTAAATTGCATAAAGTTCGGAAAAAAAAAGGCAATCTGCAGGCTAGAATGAGGAAAAATGAACACAAAATGATAACAGTTGCAACTTTCAATGTCAGTAGTTGTACTGTGCATCATCAGTTGTTAACATACAAATTGGAACGTTTCCATATTTAAACAAAATATAATTGTAAAACATTGAAGGAAAAGTAAACAATGCTTATCAATTCTTCCACTAACCTGACGTCGATGTAATGAAAATTCAGAGTGGCAGCAGAGTTGGTGTTGTCGGCAAATAAAACAACGCTTCCCTGAAGTCTTCGACAATAAGGGTAAGATCGGTTCAGTTGCATTTATTATCAATAAATAAAGACCAATTGGGGAGGCAAGGCAAGGCAAGTTTCGAAACAAACTGTTGCAGAGAAACAAAATCGATCTTTCCTTCTACTAATTAATCCAACGCTAAAAGTTACTTAATAAACAAGAAATACAATATCGTTACTCTACTCCTGTGTTAGTCCAGAATGCAATTCATCCGTCCGTCTCACTAATTTTCAGTTCTTATAAAACCACTTGCCACATAAATACAGAACAAATTTCACTACGTTGAGAAAGAGAAAGATATTTCGAAATTTACTTTCTTTTGGCCGTAATATCACAAAAGGTTTAATCAAGACAACGATGCCTTCGGACGCTGGGCAGCAGATACGGTCAATGTAGTTGTAATAATTCATCAATCTGCTGCCTTTCACCTCGACTTTAAGGGCAGATGGTAGGACCCCATCGGGATATCTATTGAACTCTGAACCAAGTTTGAGAGTCAAGGAAGGCATCTTGTTGGGATCAATCATCTGATTTCTCCATCACTACCCTCTAGTCCTGCGGAGTTTTCTCTTTGAAGTCGGGATTCTCGTTGCATATTCATAGGCTCATCGTCTTCAGATTCCGACCAGGTGGCCCTTCGTCGGGCTGCATTGGATGAAGGTACACCCTGCAATTTCAAAACCCAAAATATAACCAAGTGCCACAAACCAACTAATCAGGACCAATAGGAGTTTTAGAAAGGACGGGCAAATGAAGCAAATTGAATCTAAACATGATTACGAAGAAACAAGAAAAGATATATAAAAACTTTTTAATTTATAAGAACAATATTGTTGCTTAAACCTAAATGCAATAATTTATAGCAAATTAGGTGCAATAGCAAGAGGCAGTATCAAAAGAATCTAATTGAGTTCAGATTCGAGATGCCAATATTTTCTCAAAAGCTAAAATCAAGGGGTAGTAAATAGGTATTACCGCTTCATCCTCGGCATCAGAATCTTCAAGCCCAGCTTCTGCAAGGGCATCCTGATCATTCCCTTCCAAATCATCGTCCTGATAATTCATTTGGCTCCGGGACTCCCTATAACTTATGTTATTATCTTCATTGTCTAGTTCTTGATCATCCATCATATCATTGTCGGCCTCTTCTGTCTCATAATGTGATTTCCCCTTCCGGTCTTTCTTTCTCCTCTTTCCACCCTTCCTTCTCCTCTTCTCACTATCACCAGCTTCATCATCATCAATCTCTGACCTTTCTCTTCGTTTAGCAGGTGTGGTGCTCTTCCATTGCTCCTGGAGAAAGTTTAGATGAGCTACTTTTAAGCTGTGAATCTCCAGTTAAATATCTTAATCGTCCAAGAAGGAAAAACATCATTTGAAATAAAAGCACTGGAGATTAAAATAGCCATATAAATAACATGCAACAGAATATCCCATCTTTGACAGAAACTGTAGCATTACCGAATACTACTGAAGTGCAAATATGCAAACTCAACCATATATCCCTGCTCTAAAGGGAATTTATTTAAAATATTAGTACATAGAAAATGTCAAACGCTTCAGCTTTCCCTTTCTGTTCTCTTCACATACGTTCTGAAGACCTGTAACAATATAAATCAAATACTCAAAGAAACAATATTATTCAAAATAATTACCTTCACACGTTTAAAATGCTGCTCCTGTTGCATCATCCGTCTTTCCTCATCTTCCAGCTTTCTCCTCTCCAACTGTTTTAGCAAATAATATCAGACAAGAACTCATCATTCACAATAAATAAATGTTTTTTTTTTCAAAAAAGGGATAGGTACAACTAATGAAATAAAACACCTCGTACTTGAAATTTCCTCTGCTCATCTGCCTTACGACGGGCATCCTCCGCCAATGCAACTTGACGTGCTAGTTCTTGTCTTTGACGGATCTGCTGCTCTTCATGTTCTGCTGCTTTGAGGTGAACTCCTGCAGCCTCTAGTAAGTGCTTGCAGTAACCAACATGAGTATCAATCTTCTTCTCATCAAAGCCATGAAAGTGGAGGTTGGAAGCAGCAGACAACTGACTAAAAACACGAACAGCATTTTCCAGCTCCGCTACTGTTGAACGCACCTAATACATTATTACAATTGAGGCAAAAAATAAGAATTAATGCAACAGCTAATCAAAAGGGGAGGAGATGTGAGGTCAAAGATTGAGGCAGATATTGGAGGAACATAAGATGTAACTTATATAAGTCTTTTTTTTTTTTTCTCTTTTTTTTTTTTTTTTTTTTTT